TCATAACAAGTCAACTGAACTAACTGATGAACATTTAAGAGAACTTGTGCGAACTGCGCTTACAAATTATCAGCCATATTTCACAAAGCTTACAGAAAAAATGAACACTGGAATAAGCACTTCTCATAAATAAATCAATAATAATGTTAATATAACTATGTCATTAATAATAAAGTTTTATGTAGTGTAAAAAATAAATGTTCCTTCATTTGAGTTCATTTTTTAATGTGTCTTCATTTCAAAACCATCGCTTTACTATGTGGCTCGCCTCAAATTATGTTTATAAAATTTGCGGCTCCCAAAGTTAAGGTTAGTGGCCACCCCTGATATAGATGGTGAATTGTATTTTTGGAATGTTTACAAAGGGCCCGGACAAGGATTTAGTACAGGGGCCCAGGATTGTATTTGGGCGCCCCGTTTATACATATGTGTATAATATGATGTTTAGCCATGATCGAAACTACCCAGTGACAACCCATGCCTATGATGGCCTATCCTATATTCGCGCCCATTTAACAACCGCCTTTCGTCGTCCGAACTGATGTACGCAGGCGCGCAACGAACGAATTAAGTGTCGGAACTTTTATCCCCTCTCCTGTAAGCCGCCACCTCGCGCGGCACTGCAGTCTTCCCGTGACGGGCTCGCCGTGCCGTCGTTTTCAGCCCTCAGCGGACGTGCACCACGAGTCGTGAGCGATCGGCGTTTTTAGATTTACATTATTTAAGTTCGTATACGCGGGCCGGCTGTTTGAAGCCATACGCGCCGAAAGATTTCTGAAACCTAGTGTTGCGCACGACGCTTTTTGTCAATGTTTGCGTCGTTCACAATATTATCGTTTTTCGTCCCGTCGATCACGAGCGCACAACTGCAATAATTATTGGTCGCCGCGTGTTGTTCGCAGTTCGTAGACCGGACGTTCAAATCCATAGGCATAATTAGGGGGGGGGCTAAGCACCCCCAACATTGATTTAACCCCCCCTGTCATAAATCGGGCGATTGTAAACTCCTCCAGAATACCGGTTGGACAAAAAGGTAATGAAAATGTCTAACGTAAAATCCGCCATTTTTATTTTCTTACTTGTAATCGATATATGGAAACTCCATCAGTGCTTATGTGAAACTTAATAATGGATCTCAAATAAAGAAGCTCAAAAATCTAAAATTATAGTGTTAGAGAACGTTATAATTAGTTGTGGTGATGGATTTATATTAGACTGAGATGTCAGAATATCTACAAATTGTATCTCATCATTTTACTTCACTGTTCCACATATTATAACATAACATAATATACCTATAGGTACTCTGGCCCGCTAGAGTCCGTCAGTAAATCTTGAATTGATACTGACGAACGCGACGTCTGCTGGCTGGATTTTTTCAAACCATCGTACCATTGCCACTACTCGGCGACGTGTATGGACAGCGGCTCATAAAAACACATCTAATTAATTGGGTCACCACGAAGATCTATGACGGTATGGAATTTCCAAATACATAAATAGCTTTAACAATATATATAACTATGTAGTAATAAGTTCATTGTTATGGTGCTACTATCACTAAAAAAAGAACTAACATGACTGATTAGTTTTTTGATTATTGAACGAATCATGTTTATAAAATGCAATAAGCAAATTTTTTAGTGTAACAAATTATTTCAGAACTGAAGAGATTTTTGTTTTGTATTTGAAGATTATTTCAAATACTTCTGAAAAGTATTTGAGTAATTACTTAAATACTTTTTAAAAGTATTTTTTACAACACTGAATATCTGTGTACTTAGGTCATTGCTGTTACGATTGCCCACTCAAGTATAGCCTATACTGTATAGTTACTATGAACATCGTCAGCTGGACGTCGTCGCATTCTAGACCACCGCCGCCCATGTGACTGGTTAGTCTCTAATTATGATATATATTAGTATTAATACTATTTATTTTCTTAATATAACGACGTACAACATTTCAATATCACATTAAGATTAACAATTAAGACCATCTCATTGAGCGTAGCATATTTTGGTAGGGAATGGTGAGTTTAAATCTTAAAGCATATATAATCAATAACTAATAATTATCAAGTATCTAAATATAATATACGGTAACTAATACGTATGATAATACATAAATATTTTTATTTTTCGATAACGCATTTTGTATAATTGAGCTATTCTGTGTTTCCCATACAACACTTAAATTAATAAAAATGTTACGTTAGTTTGTAGTTTATAATTTTGACAAGTCATAAATATATAGCCGTTGCTAAGTACCTACGATCGTCAGTAGACAAATTAACTGTCGTAGTGTCGTGTCGAAACAAAGCTCTATTATATCATTATTATACCTGTTCTAGCTGATCCCTTGCACTTCGTTGCCCTTTAAAAATTCCATTTTCAAATGAGACTCGATTGTGATAATAATATGAGCAGTATGTTATCAGGTAGCCTATCTACCTGTAGATTGCGGCAACCACTAGGTGTACACTCCATATGAATATGTTTAATTAAAATTGTATTAATTATTTTGATTGTGTACATGCCGATGAGCGGCTATGAGTGTAACTCGGCTGACAGACAACTTGTTAGGCAATGTACTAAAATTCGATTTGACGCAATTCTCAAACCTGATATGCCCGATAAACCAATGGCAACAATAAAAAAAAAAAAAATACCAAGTTCTATTAAAAGATTAAGAAAATTGCGAGGAAAATTAGTTATTAATTAAAATAAACGTGCAAATTGTATACCTATACACATGTCACATATTGTATGATAACCTGCATATTGTATCGCGGGTGACTTAAGTTTACTTAAATTCTTAAGCGTCATTGCTTAAACTAACCATTATGAACAAACACTTATCAAAAAACTCACAGTAAGGCTGGGGCTATACACGACGGATTCCGCCGCGTTTCGTACGCCGCGTAGCCCGCGGCGTTTTCCGTCAAACTCCAAATGTATTAATTTATATCGGAGTAGCTATACACGATGGATGTAATACGCGGCGTTTTCATCCGGGGCGGAAAACGCCAGTCGGCTTGCGTTTTGGCGGACGAACGCCGAAGTGATAAAAACGCTCGACGGATACGTTCTGTTAGCTGGTCCGTCAGAAAACTCCGCGGGATACGCGGCTTTCGAAACGCTGCAGCTTTTCGGCTTTTCGAAAATTTTTCATTTATCTTCCGATTGATTCCACTGTGAAATAAGCATTAAGAAATTAAATTAACTGTTTTATATCATAGATAGAAGATAGATGGATCTGTTTTAAATGATAAGCGTTAAGCGTGATGCATTGTCTAAGGGGAATTGGGATTTATATTTATATACATAAATTGATATAGATAGATTGTAGAATTTGACTTCTCGGAACAATTCATATCTACACACTGATCAGTGATCAAACATATAGTTATAGACGGATAAAAAGTTACGGTTGCACGTCGTTATGGAAACAAACAGGTCGTCGTGCTGTAAAATATGTATATGCAGATGTACAATTTGTACGTAAACAATTTATTTTTGCCGATTTCAACCCTTTAAAATCAAAATTTTGATAAATCCTTTATTAGTGGAACTTGACATTATAATATAAATACCTCCTCAAAATTTCAATTGGATAACTCAAATAGTTTCGGATCTGCGTTGATTATTGCTAAAGTAACTTTCCTATATATATATAGAGATTTATAATATTATAACAAGCGTGTTCTTTGCCTAGTGCAAAAGTAGTGCATAGATAATTATATAAAACAAACTGTTATATTATCAAATATGTATGGACTATAACTGTGTTTACAATAATTTACACATATTAAAAAAAGTTCACAAAATTAATGACTGTTGTATATTAGACGGACAAAAATATTAAGTAGCTATCCGCATACTTTGTAAAACGTTTATTCTTCAAGGTCTTAATACTTTATACAGTTCCAACACGTATTAAATAAAAAATACTCCACTATAATATGTGGGCAATACGTAAAATGTAAAATGTTGGTGTTTTTTTGTTACGTTCTACTAGCAAGTAATAATTAATAATTATAGATTTATACCATTAGGAACAAGAAAATATTCAAATTATTGTTATTTAATAAACTTGTATTCAAATTATTGTGTTTATATTTCATAACACTGTAATTAAATTGATCATATTACAGTTTATAATGTCTGCCACAAAAAATAATTCAAAATGGTAATATTCAACAGTTGCTTAACCTAACCTACTTGCTCATTAATATAATTTGTACATTTATTACAAATAACACCTATATAATAAAAATAGCTTATATTATATTTTCCTAAATCAATATAAAATGTCGATTGATATGGTTTTTTTTCTCTCTATTCAAATTATTATGTGTATGTATTTATTGATTTTTCCTTTAAACCATATTTTGTAGACACGTGTTGCATCAAGTAATGCACAAAATATAAACGACTAATGACTTAAGTAGACTGAGGAGATAAATTTATTATTATTTAATTTAAACCACCAGAACATAGACATGAGGTCAATCGATAGCTATCAATATTTTTTATTATAATATTATTTATTTTTTCAAAAAATATCTCAGCTTTTATTACACAATTTTAGTTCTGTACTTGAAATATTTGAACAACCTTTATTTTATTTGTTACATTTCTACTTTAAAAACAAAGTTCAAACACCACTTTATTTTTAAGTAATTTATAAACTTTTACCGCTAACTTCACTACATTACTTTTAAAATCAATGATAACATTAACTTCGTTATAATCACCATACACAAGATTTTTTATTATATAACAACCTGTATTACATTCATTTAAAACATAATTTTCAATTAGGCAATTAAGAATAAAAAAAATTATTTAACATAAAAAACATTAAAAATAACAAATATCACAATTGCTTATTGTTAAAAAAAAAAAATACATTAAGTATAGGTATTTACCAATAAAATATGTTTATAATACTATAATGTTTACAGAATATTAATATGTATAAACACTATAAAGTATTTACAATTCTACATATCTTGTAGGATTTAATACCATGTCTTCGTGGAATTCTATTACCAATTCCGGGAATTTCCATCTCATTACATTTTCATTAACCGGATAAGAATCTCTTCCGGTCTCCTCCCACACCACAAAGTAGAATATATTTTGTCCTCCTCTGACACCCATGCCAATAATTCTCTCTGGTCTCGAAATTTCTACATTAGGAATACCTTCGCCATTCATGCGTGTGTTCATGAAAATATTTCTGGAAAACGAGCGAACGGTTAGCTATTCGATAGGTATATAAAATAATATAAACACACGAGTACATAATCATATGATAGTAACTGTTCCAAGGGGTAGGGGGGAGGTTTATGATGTGCTACACAAACTACAAACAATTGTGAGTATCCACCACCCCATCAAATAAAATTAGACAAACAAACAGTATTCACTATTAAGAGGACGCCACACCCGCATGTGCTGTCTCCGTCCTACAAACGCGTAACACACCAAAATTACGCTCAGCAGTTCACGTTATATCTCGTTAGCTTAAAAATTAGAGTGAATCGACCTATTATGATACTTGATGTTAAGAACTTTATCTGTGTTTTGTTGGAAGTTTTTTTACAATAATTCAGTTTTTAAGTGAGTTATGAGCATTTTTAATTTACATTTATTATACAATTATATCTCGCTTAAAAACTGAAGTATCGTAGAAAAATTCCAACAAAACACAGATAAAGTTCTTATCACCAAGTTTCATAATAGGTCGATTCACTCTAATTTTTAATTTAACGGCATAAAACGTGAATTGCTGAGTGTAAATTTGGTATGTTACGCGTTTGTAAGACGGAGACAACACATGCGGGTGTGGAGTCCTCTTAACATTTAATTTATTTTTGAGAGAGGGGGAGGGGGGGGGGGTCCCCCAAAGTTACTACCTCTGAACACAGATTTCTATATAGAACTAGGACTCTCGGTATCAGTTGAAGCCTGGTTGTCGGTCGACATTTTTTAATATGGTATTTTATATATATAGTAAATACTAATTATGTTGTATTGTATTTTATTATTTCTAAGCCTGTTATTTGAAAAAAAAAATTATCGTACACGAATCATTTTGTTAAAAATTAAAAACGATGTTATGTCTTATGCATTTTGTTTTATGGTTGAAATATTTTGTCAGCCGAGAAAATTGTGGCCAACTGCTACGCGAGCTTCGGCGATAATAATATAGGAGTCTTTATCTAGTGTAGTATAGAAGTCTGTGCCTCAGAAATACATATTATAACCATTAAAGACGGTGTCTGATCATAATAACCATGTACATAGTTACCTAAGTGTTGAACCGCAGGTGTCGTCGTCCCCGCGGGACACGTTCTTCACGTGGTGAGGATACATGTCATATAGTTGTCGGCCGCCTCTAGCAGCTTCTTCCTCGTCTTCCTCGTCCGACGAATACAACACTTGATAACGTGGTCTGCTCGGCAGTGGATACGTCCGGTCGATGATAATGTCTTCGGTGTCAAAATAGCCTACGCTAGTGACGATTCCCTCGTCGACATAGTCTTCCCCTCTTTCGTTCCTTAAGATTCGTTCGATCCTCTCGTCTTCGGAGGAGGAGTCGTTCATGATGTTCAGCTTTGTGTTTATAATGTTCTGTCGTAGTAAATTGTCGTTCGGCGTCGTCAAAATGATCAGGCAGTGAAAAGGCGGTGGGGAACTCTGATCGTTTGGCGGTGGAACGACGTGCTAGGCGGACGGAGATCGGTGACACAACTGATTCGAGGCGCACGCGGTCGCCCCACTCTGCCGGACAACAAGTAGGTACCCACTTGTAACGCTCTTGCGGCCACTGCCTGAACTGTTTACCGTTCGTGTGTTATCTACGACCACACTGTAACCGTAATATTATTATTAATTATTATGTTTTTCCGACACCTATGTACAATATTGAAATACTACCGCTCCCGGCGATCTACTGCTGTTCTGCTAAACGATCGGATACAATATTATACGTATTTTATTTTTCGATATATATATATATGGACGGGTTCTGCGCTTGACCTGCGCAATCTTACCTAACCTGACTACATGGCTACACGCAAAACAGCTCTTTGATAGCGGCCTGCGCTTCCGTAATGAACGTTAATCATATTATTAAAAATTCTGCTTGTGGGTTCCTATAAAACGGTTAAACACGATAGCAATGAGTGTTAATGGACGCGACACGTAAAAATGCAAGCGAATGGACAAATGTCGTATTAATTTTTTATATTAATTTTTTAATAAATTATAATAATTCGGTTGGGACTTAGAAAAATGCTTACTAAATTGAAATATACGATAAATCTCAAAAATTTAGACAACGTTGAATGATATTATTTTTAATTAATGAGTCTATTTGTGTGTTAGACAAAAAAAAAAAAAAAACAAAATTAATTAATCGACGGGCTGCAGTGACAACCGAGTAATCGACTGTGATCCAATCGTCCGATGTGTAATAAAATAAAATTATTTTGTCGACAAATAATAGTTACTCATTTAACATAGTATTCTACACTATATGTATAGTAAATATATTAGAGAATTACTGTCTTAGGTGATAACTTACTGATAAGTGATGGTCGTATGTTTTGTGGACTGTGGGTCTATGGTACAGCTACGATGAGTTAAGCCGGCGCCGATTAACGAGCATCTAGCACAGTGGACATTTGTTCGGTTCGCGCGTGCGCATATAAACATTCCTACTATTCGCGTATAAATGATGTGTTCGTCATGGTACTTGTTCACAGATAATTTGTGCTCACAGATATACAAACGGTAGCGGCGGCGTCGCTTAGATGGTCGGGTGATGGGTGGGGGTCGTTTCCCAGACCATCGATTATAAATACTATAGTATTTATAATCAATGGCCATCGTTACCGCTATCACGGAAGGTTGGAACACGGTATATAATAACAATAATATTGTGATCAATTTTTCAGTATTTATTTCTATAAATAGTAAATACCTACTTTTATAGACAGTAAATCATAGAAATAGAAATATTTAAGAAAAATGTATATTATCATTGCGCAAGAATATCTACCTATAAATATATATTAATAAAGTTCAGTTATCTAATGTACAGAATTTACTATTAATTATTACTATACATAAAGTATTAAATACATATTTTATAAATGCGCACCACCAACTATTTTCCCCTCAAGCCGGCACTGTTGACTGGTGTATTGGCAAATATATTTATGGGTATACGCACTAATAAAATATGTATGTACTTACCCAGGTACCCAATAAACACTTTTTTCTCCCTACGCTTCAAAAAACTAGCTTAGGATTTTAAATTTTTTTATCATCGAATTCTTAATAAAAAACACTATACCTAATTAAAGGAAACTACCTTTATAATATTGTAGTAGGTAATACGTTGTACAATTTTTGGGGTGACTTTAGATTCCTTTCATTTATTGGAACTCATCTCAATTTAAATAATAAAAATTAGTAAATATTAAAGTGTTTATACATTAAGAGGACGTGATACCCGCATGTGTTGTCTCCGTCTTACAAGTGCGTAACATAGCAAATTTTATGCTCAGCAGAACACGTGTAGCTCCGTTAGTTTAAAAATTAGTGCGAATTGACCTTTTATAAAATCTAAAGGTAAGATTATTATCTAGTCAACCTCATAGGTTTTTTATTATATTTTAATTTTAACGCGAGTTGTGAGTATTTTAAGATGTATAAAAAATTTACAATTTTAAAATACTCATAACTCGCGTTAAAATTAAAATATAATAAAAAACCTATGAGGTTGACGAAATAATAATCTTACCTTTAGATTTTATAACAGGTCAATTGGCACTAATTTTTAAACTAACGGAGCTACACGTGTTCTGCTTAGCGTAAAATTTGCTATGGTACGCACTTGTAAGACGGAGACAACACATGCGGGTATCACGTCCTCTTAACAAACTGTATGTGTGTGATCATTGAAAGCTATTGGCAATAATGTTACCACAAAATAATGACCACTTAGTTTACCTTTTATGGCTTATAGATATATAATCTTATAGATTGTAGAACATTACGTATCTATGTTGTTTTGGTCGTTTTTTTTACGATATTTAAATTTTCTAGGGATTTGCGAGTAGGTAATAGGTATGTACAATTTTAATATTTAAATGCTCATAACTATCATAAAAATTAAAATCTCGTAAAATCCCAGATAGTGAACATCGCAGATAATGTTCTTACCTGAATGTTTGAAAATATAGGTCAATTCACTCTGATATCGAAACAAGCAGCACACTAATAAAACTAGTGAACCAAAGTGTTCTATGTCATACGTGTGTAAGACGGAGACAACACATGCGGGTATCACGTCCTCTTAACAAACTGTATGTGTGTAATTAATGAAAGCTATTGGCAATAATGTTACCACAAAATAATGACCACTTATTATTTTACCTATTATGGCTTATAGATATATAATCTTATAGATTGTTGAACATTACGTATCTACTATCTATGTTGTTTTGGTCGTTTTTTTTACGATATTTAAATTTTCTAGGGATTTGCGAGTAGGTATGTACAATTTTAATATTTAAATGCTCATAATTATCATAAAATTTAAAATCTCGTAAAATCCGAGATAGTGAACATCGCAGATAATGTTCTTACCTGAATGTTTGAAAATATAGGTCAATTCACTCTGATATCGAAACAAGCAGCACACTAAATAGATATATTAGAGAATTACTGTCGTAGGTGATAACTTACTGATAAGTGATGGTCGTATGTTTTGTGGACTGTGGGTCTATGGTACAGCTACGATGAGTNAGATAGTGAACATCGCAGATAATGTTCTTACCTGAATGTTTGAAAATATAGGTCAATTCACTCTGATATCGAAACAAGCAGCACACTAAATAGTAAACACTAATACAATATTGAAACTGGTGAAAGAAAATGATGGTACATTTGTACGCGTGTAAGGCGGAGACAACACACGACGTCCTCTTAATCAATTTGATAATTTAAAATCGTTTGAAAACATAATAATATATGAAATACTTTGATTTACCTACTAAATAAAAAATAAAAATAAATGTTTTGTCTTTTTATGTAGGTATAGAATTGACTATTGGCATAAAAAAACAAATTGTTTTTAGGCCGTTAAAAGCTCTGCTGCGATATGTATTGTATTCTATTTTTCAAATGTATTTATATTTTGTATGTACCTATCTGTTAATTATACTATTTGTATAATTGCAATAACCCGAAAGAGTGTATTAGTTATTGCCATTTATTAGTAATTATTAAAATTTGAAATTGCAATATGTATAATTTAATATTATATTGTGTAGAGTTGAATAATTAAATCATCAAGTTAACATACAAAATTACACATTGATATTTTATTTTTGTACAAAATCCATATTTTGCTTATGAAAAATATGTGTGAATGTTTGGGTTAGATGGCAAAACGTTGAACACAGTTTTCAAGCCTCGGTGGCGCAGCAGGCAGCGCGTAAGTCTCATAATCTTAAGGTCGTGAGTTCGATCCTCACCCGGGGCAAGTTACTTTTTAGTTTTTTTTTCTACAGCTGTCGATAACACTTTTTTCATCGAGTCATAAAGTTTGAAATATAGTGTATTTCTTTTTAAGTTTCTCATTAAGTCATAAGTATTTATGGTGGCTATGTAAATATTTATTAAAAGTTAAGTACATAATATAGTCACAATATTTTTTTATAAGCATTCAAACTTATAGAGTTTTTTTTTAACATTCGTCAAAATCACAAGAATTGCAAATTATTCCATAGTAAAAAATTCTTAAGCTTTTAAATTGCACATCTAATATTTATAAAAGTATATTACTAAGTAATAATAATAAGTTTAGTGTCAAAAATCTTCACCCCTTACTTCAATAAGTGTAATCTGTTGTTTGTATTTGGATTGCCCATAGTTTCGATTTAAATTGTACTTATTTTTCAAGAAGATAATGGGCCCCACTTAACATATTCGTGGGTAGTCCATAAATTCACGATTTTAAATATAAATTAATTGAATAGTAAATATTATAAATTAAATAATTACAATTTTCAATACACTTTTCTCACATAACTGAAATATCTGTATAAATAAATACATATTTATATAATATATTATAATGTACTACCTAATATGTGAAAAATCGTGACGGACACAAATATCAAATAATAAATAAAAAACCACACATCATTGTAAAATCAATACATTCATCGCTCCTTGCGGAATCTAAAATGTACATCATAGATAAAATAAAGTATTTGTTAATAGTGTAGGGGATTTGCAAAATAAAACAATTTTAATGATATGTACCTAGTGCAGAGACGGATCATCATATCATTATTATATATAAAAACAAGTGTAGTACGTATAACACTATAGTTAATTATTATTTACCTATTGTAATATATACGTATAATATAATGGTGAAATGATTCTAGTCCCAATGATCGATGTACTCTAGTCTTCTAGATTACAACCTATAATATATAATAAATTGACTCATTAAGCTAAATTGTTGGAAAAAAATTATTATTATTCGCTTAAATATCCAATATATGTTATCAAAATTAGTACCTACAACTGACGTATCGAATAAAAATATTTTTATATCTTTATGCGTTAATAATATTGTTAGGATTCTGAAACGTATGCTGAACTGCATATAGTAAACTACGTAGGTAGTGGGTACCTACTATAATAGCATTACTATTCAATGCTATATACGTAGATGTAATATATTTTCATGCTTTAGCTATTATAATTGTAAAGTGAACATTTTATAAATTGCTTTAAATATTTTTGTGTATTGGTTATTTTGTGTGTTGTATATTG